CCACAGAGCAGGGAAGCTGAGTTCCAGAGAACAGCCAGTGAGGGAGTCTGTCTGGGGCTGGTTCTGCAGGGGGCATGGATGGAACTGTGCTGAAGTGAGGCCTTTGGGAAGCTGACAGCTCTTGCTGTGTGAAGAAAGGGTGTTTCTGTCCCAGGGGCCCTGTGGCCTGCCCTCCCTGGCAGCCACACCTGTTTTGTCCTTCTCCCTACAACCAGCCAGACGTCTGTCCTAGAGTGACAGCAGCAACTGGGGACATCCACAGAAGCTCCATGTCAGGCCTGACAAAGGCACTCAGAACCTGGCCCAGGCCTGCAGGGGAGGGGGCAGGTGGGAGGGCCGAGAGATGCGGACAGCTGTGGGCTGGTGTGGCTGTCGTGGCCCTGCCCTAGAACAGGTGAAGTCAATGTGAACTGAGGAGGAGGGTCCCCTGGGGTTTCAAGGGTAAAAGAGAAGACAGTGCAGGGACTTCTCAGCACACGGTGGCTTAATTTAAAGACTGGGGCGGTTTTGAACTCCCTACTCCCTTAGAAAGGACCTGATAAAAAGGGGCGAGGAGAAGGCACAGCTGTCAGAGGGCTGTCCTATTCAGGCTGGTTGGGCAGCGCTGTAGAAAAGCGTGGTGGAAAGGACACAAAGAGCAGGGGCTGGGAAGGACATCCCAGATGAGACACTGAGTTGATGTTAGAAAAAGTCTCCCTGGGCAGAGCCCAGCAGAGGGTCACCCTGAGGCCAGTGGGGTCTTTTCGGGGGTAAAAAAAAATCTTGCCTGGAACTAGGTTCTCGAAAGGGAGAAACTAGTTGAGGAGATATAGGGCAAAATAGCAAAAGTAACAACAATGATGACCCCTTATATGTACGTAACATGATTCAGTTATAAAACTGGTTTTTTGTCCTTTTGATCTCCCAAGCTCCTAGAAGGCAGGCATTCTTTCATTATTCATGTGACGAACACTTATGATGCATCTGTTTTGGGCCAAAAAATGAGGTTCTGAGAAGGTTAGTGACAACTTTCCTAAGGTCACATGGTGGTTTGCTTCAGTTAGGCAGGACCCAAACTCGGTCCTGGTTCCCTGTTCTTTCCATAATTTTCTCTTTCTTCTGTTGTAACTAGGTAATGAGGTCCTAGAGGTAGTACCTTTATTCTGCAAAGGGAAATGATAATAGGGACACAAGGAACATATGGGACATAAGGACCCTGGCATTGTGGACTTGTGATGCCTGCAACAGTATTTGTACCCCCAATTCCCCATGCTCTGGTAAAGGTTAGTTGTTCACTTAAACACACCACATTGCTGGCCTCAATGAAAAGGTCCTGACAGAGAAGGAACGGTAGAACGGGGACAGGAATGTAGGCATAGGGCCTGGGGAGACGACAGCTACTCTTTTAAATAGTGAGTGATGGCAACAGAAAGTTAATGGGGGCAGGTGGGTGGGCGATGAGAACTGGACTTCCTTGGAAGCTTTTTTTTTTTTTTCCTTCATAACAGCTTTATTGAAATATAATCCACATACCATAAAATTCACCCTTGGGGCCGAGCCCGTGGCGCGCTCGGGAGAGTGCGGCTCTGGGAGCGCAGCAGCACTCCCGCCGCGGGTTCGGATCCTACGTAGGGATGACCGGTGCGCTCACAGCGCTCACTGGCTGAGCGCGGTGCAGCCGGTCTCAAAAAAGGACAAAAAAAAAAAAATTCACCCTTGGGGCCGAGCCCGTGGCGCGCTCGGGAGAGTGCGGCTCTGGGAGAGCAGCAGCACTCCCGCCGCGGGTTCGGATCCTACGTAGGGATGACCGGTGCGCTCACAGCGCTCACTGGCTGAGCGCGGTGCAGCCGGTCTCAAAAAAGGACAAAAAAAAAAAAATTCACCCTTGGAAGGTTTTAATGGTCTGGACTCTGGTGATGACCGCTCAGGGCAGTGACAGACCACTCTGAGTGGAGGCCAGAGTGCTGACACGTGCCAGGAAACCTCTCCAATGCCATGCCCCACCCTCATTGGGACCCAGAGTTTGGAATCCTGTCGAGGGCGCTTTGTTTCCTGGAGTGTTTCTTTTTCCTCAGACATTCTCTGGGAACTAGAGCTCTGTACTTCTTTCTTTCCTACAGTTTGTAAAGAAGGTCAGTGGTGGAGGAAATCCCACTCTATGGGTAAGGTCTCTGGAACACCTCCCCACCTCCACTCCCCAAAAGGTCACCCTTCGTGTTTGCCCCAGAGGCTTGTAGGAGGGGCTGGAGCTTCTAAAACCAAAACTTTCGCTTCACATGTCAGTGATTCTGCACTGTCATATCTGCAGCAAAACTGACTTCCACGGCTTTCTCAAAAGGGCTGCAAGCCTTCTTTACACATCCTCATCTGCCTGCCTTTGGGAGGCAGACTTCTACTGCCGAGCGGTGGCTATTTGGAATAATCTTGAGCCTGCTCCCCCCCCCCACGTGCCCCCCTTCCTTTCCTTTCTCCTTTCTGAAGTGGCCCGAATTTGGAAGTTTAGTTGAGGTGAAGGGATGCGCTGCTCCAGAGTGAGCAGGGCCCCTCCAGGGCCACTGACTTCTCAGTTTTTCATGTGTCCTGCACCTGCCTCTGCTCCCTGTGCTGCTTCCTGGGCCAGGCCCCACAGCTGGTTTGGGACAGGGAGGAAGTCCTGGTGGGAATGCCCTTTGGAGTGGCTCCCACTTGTTCACTGGAGGCTGGGCCCTGGCTCCATGGTGGCAGGCTTTTCTAGGAATATGCTCCCCTACTGGGCTTTCTGGTTCATTGGGACCATCCCTGGGCTGGGCTGCACTAGTTTTTAGGGGCTTGCTTTGGGCTGCCATCATGCCAGCTGCAGGGGCTGTGCCCTCAAGGGAGATCAGGATAGCTACAGGTCTACAGAGGAACCTGGCAGCAATGGGCACTTGGTTGAGTTGTCAGTGAGCAGGTAGAAACCAGGCAAATGGAAAAAGCAAAAAGGTTCTACACTGAGCCTCTGCTAGGAGTCCTGAGAGTCTAGCGTCTACTGGCGGTGTGCATGCCTAAGCACTCCAGCTTCTCAATTGCTCACTGCTTTGCTCTGTGAGAGACTGGAAGAGGAGCAGAGAGGTAACAGCTGATTGGCTTGCCCTGTGACCTTATGCAAGTCGCTTAACTTCTCTGAACCTCAGTGTTCTCATCCATATGATGAGAGGGATAAAACTTTCTCACACACAGCATTGTTAAGTAGGTTGTATGAGGAAGTGCTTTGAGAATTGTCAGGAACAATACTGTCAAAGTGGGTGCTAAATCCAGGAGCCTGGGCTTTTCACTGCAGAGGGTGGTTTCCCTGGCTCTTCCATTCACTTTTACACTCACAGAATCATGGACCTTAAAATGGAAGTGATTTCAAGAGATCCTCCAGTCCAGTCCCCTGACATAATTATCTGTACTGTGTTGATAAGAATGTTTTAGGTGGTATTACTTTGACATACCTGTCATAACACGATGCAAATAAGCCCTTTTCCTCTTGGGTGAGGTGTGACCTCCAGGTGCACACAGGTGCTCCTGCCAGCAAAGGGGTGGAAGAGGAAGGGAAAGCCATGCCCCCCAGGAGCAAGTGCAGGGTTTCTAGGCAGAAGGTCTGAGTGTTGTCTGTGTTATCCACTCCCGGCGTGGGGGCTAAGGCCCTGGCCCTGCAGGCTGGGGGTCGGGTGGGGGTGAGAATCATATTATGCTGCTCCTCTTCTGAGAAAGTGAGGGATGCACCTGATTCTCAGGACCGGCCACGGGAAAAGTGTGTTCTTGAAAACAAAACACCAAAAATATGGAAGGAAGAACAGGGCTCCTTCCCCTGGACTTCTCCGCTGGCTCTGGAGCCTCATTGAATGTGTGGGCCTGTGAGAACCTCCTGAGCTGCAGAAGTTTCCCATCAGTGAGGTAATGAGGCATCAGGACCTGGATCAGAAAATTGATCAGGGGTAGAAAATTGATATTTAGGGAAGGCAGGGGAAAATGTGGCCACGGAGTGAAAAGCTGCCCTACTGTGGCCTGAGTTGCTAGAATTAAACCCAGGAGCTTTTTGTCACGTAAGTAATGGAGGTGTGAGTCCTTTACAGGGCGCTGGGGCCAGTTTCTCAATAACCTTTACATGCACTAGGATGCTAGTAAGCCAGAAAGTGAAACTTGGGGAGGCTGTTAACAAAGCGCCTTGGAGAGGATTGTGCATGATTTACTGTCTCCAAAACCCAAGAGTTTTCTTTGTGGAAGAAAGCGAGTTGTGCCCTCCCCAACATCACACACACTTTCCTGGCAGGATCGATGGGTTTCCAAACATTTCGTCACCGTCTCCTCCTGACCTTGGTGTGAAAGGAACGAGCCGCGTGGCCTGTTGGTTCCAGCAAAGCCATCGGGGGCGCGGGCCTGGGCTGGGGAGGGTGGCGACCGACTCGGGAGGGAGTGGAGGTGAGGTCTGCTGGAAATCCCCAGCCCGAGCGGCCGCCGGAGGTTTGAAGACGCCTTCCCCGGCCTTATTTGGTCGCAGGAAGTGGGCGGTACCGGGCCTGCTGGCGGAGAGGCCAACCCGAGACAGTTGTGCTGATGAAGTGGTAGAGCTGGTTCCTGCTCGCCGCGGTGCCGCGCGCGCCGGCGGGCCGCTGGGTCTCCGCGCTCCCAGCCTCGAGTTGTGCAATCCTTTGTAGCACGCCAGAGTCCTCCTCCTTCGCTGTTGCCTCTCGCCCTCTCTCTCTTTTTTTTTCAAGCTGTGAGCTCAACCGATGAGTCAGAGCCGTGCAATCCTGACACTGCATCGCAGGACTGGGGGTGACACGAAGGGAGGGCGAGCGCTCGCGAGGCGGACAGCACGGGCGCCGAGGCTCCTGCGCCGCGAGCGGGGGCTGACAGCCCGCGCGTCCCGCCCGGCCCTGCCAGCAAACTTCCCAGCCTCGGGAGGCGCGGGCTGGCGGAAGCCCCGTGAGCGCCGCGGGGAGGCGACGGCGCCTGTTTGTTTTTAAAATCGGGGAGTGCGTGCAGGCGGCTGGAGTCCCGGAGGCGACCGAAGGCGGCGGCCCACGGCGGAAGGGGGCAGCCGAGGCCGGAGCTCGGGCAGGAGTGGGGTAAGTGGGTCCGCCCGGCCGGTGGCCGAGGCCTGCACGCG